CTTAGACAGGAATTGGAACTCATTCCAGAGGGAGAGCTTCGAACCAGCATTGAAAAGGTCCTCTCAGTTGGTGGGGAGTTTGTGAAGGTCAGCCATTGGATCTTCGGTGGTGATGGCTGGGCGTACGACATTGGCTTTGGCGGGCTGGACCACGTCCTGGCCTCGGGCACTGATATCAATGTTATGGTCCTGGATACAGAGGGCTATGCTAATACTGGCGGCCAGAAGTCCAAGGCCACGCAGATCTCGGCCGTTCAGAAGTTCGCCACTGATGGGTACAGGCGACCTAAGAAGAACCTAGCGGAAATGTTTATGGTAGAGAGAGCACTTGCTATGGTCCAACGCTGACGTGAGGTTCATTTAGGGTTACGGTAATGTCTATGTGGCCAGCATTGCTGTTGGTGCCTCACCGAGCCAGTCTGTGAAGGCCCTTATCGAGGCCGACTCGTGAGCAAAGATTCATCCTGTCATGCGGTGGAATGCACAGCCTAGGTACGCAGGGCCGTCCGTTGTCCTTACCTATTCCCCATGTATCGAACATAAGATTAAATTCCCACGGGGTCTCAGTAGACTGGCTGACGAGATGACCAAAGCCGTCAACTCTGGGTAAGGGCCTTACTTCTAGCTTGGTCCACGGGCCTGTAGGTATTGGCCACTCTTCCGCTATGATCCTGCTAAGATCTCGGCTGGTGTCAACCCATTCGTCCTGGATGCCCCTAAGAAACTCGTTGGTAAGGTACATGACTTCACAGGTGGGTACTTCTTGTCAACATCCTTTTACGTCGAGTAATAATATGATCTCAGAATTGGAGGACCGGTTTGGTGCTCTGGAGAGGACCCATCCTGATGATGCCAGAAGGTTGGCGGAGGAACTACAGACTCACGTCACGAACAAGTCCGTTGGCCTGCCCTCTCGTCACCATGGCAGACGTTTTTGCTCAGTTTCGAGGCCCTTCGCCGTCGTCATCTGGAGGGAGCTCGAGCCTCTACTATGCTCATTCGCGTGGGGGTATCCCCGACCATGGGAGGAGGCCAGGACGATGATGCTACTGCCTGTCATAGAGTGCTTATCGTCTATGCTTCGGACACGGGGAACACGGCTGAACTGGCCAACAGGTGGTACTGTTATCAATGGTCGGATAGTGATGCAGTGGTAGTAGGTTCGGCAATATGTGCCGGTCTAGAGGGGTGGCAGTAGATGGGGTATTGGACATGTCAGAGGTCGACTCTCTGTCCCAGCTACCAACAGGGACCGGATCCACTCTGGTAGCGGACCGACATTCGGCTGGTGTTGGTCATGTGTCTGTATAGGTGGTGATGACCAGTACCGTCGGGGAAGGCGATCTTCCTCCAACAGCAGTGGCCTTCAAGGCAATGCTTGACTCAGCTGAGGAGGGGTCTCTAGCCACTACACGAGTGATGTTATTCGGTCTGGGGGATAGGTAGTTTCTATACTTCTTCCCCTGAGTGGACTTAGCGTCTTAGCTCATACCATCATTTCTGTGGAGCTGCTGTGGCCCTGGAGAAGTCCCTCCAGAGAGCAGGGACAGTGAAGGTTGCCCCGACAGGTTTCGGTGACGACCAAGCTGAGGATAAGTAGGAGCATCTCATGGGGTCTCATGGTCTCACTCTGTGGAAGGTTCGAGACTGGGTTCGAGCAGTGGACGCCTACTGCATGGCCGGCCCTGGATGCCCCACAGGACGAGATTATTGAGGACCCTACGGCCGTACCCCCGTCCTGTTATTCGGTTATGGAAGTTGCCCCTCCACCCATTGAGATCGATAAGGGGGCGCTCCTAGCATCCTCCTCTCCACCAGGTGAGCACGAAGCTTCGGTTGGGGAAGGATCGCCTGTCGGTTCAGGCACGTTCCCACTCAGAGTGAGCTCTAATACTAGGTTGACCCCAGAAGGCTATGACCGTACAGTTAACCATGTTTGCCTGGGGGTCTACGAGGATATTGACGGCCGTTCTCATCACGACCTTTCCTACCACCTCGGTGACGCTTTGGCAGTGTAGCGCCACTGGAGAGGAATCACCTCCCAAATCGACACTCCTCAGATATCCCTCTAATGACACCGAGATGGTCACGGATTGGCTCTTAGCCTATGGCCTGGATCCGAGGGCTCACGTTAACGTTGCTAGTAGTATATGGTCAGTTGCTGAGCTTCATGGACGTATGTGTAGCACCCCCGGGTGACGTTCGGCGAGCGGCCTTCTTTCGAAGTGGTCCCGTCTCGGTTAATAGTATATTCGCAGAGCTTTTGGACATTTTTGGAAAACCTACTGGACGCTTCTATCGTCAACTCGCGAGGTATAGATTAATACTATGAACCTCCTGCCAGACTTCAACTGTAGATTCGCCACTGACCCCAAGGAGAGACAGCAAATAGAGGAACTCTCTTCCAATCCGGCTGCAATGGCCCCCACCATCGGCGAGGCCCTTCTTAGTT